TCCGAAAAAAAAACATTACGCGCCACAACACTTTAGCAGCAACGTGAAACGCAGACTGGGATCAACAGGGTGACGCGACGGCTGCTTCGATTAGCCGAGCCAAGTCAAATTGCTTTCATCATCAGCACCACGACAAACGACGACGAACAACTGCTGGCGACGACAAAGTATTACTCACCCTGTATAAACTTTCGATCTTCTTCTCAACTACTACATCCTTCTCGAACAGCAGAACGTCGAATTCCTTAGCGATGTGGAAGATCCGCCTCTCGATTTCGCGGTTGTCCGAATAAGTCAAATTTCTTAAACACGAAACAGCATTAAAACGAGCAAACCGTGAACGTGCATGCAGCTGATAAACATTCACTTTTCCAGCTCGACCAACACTGGTGGCAGCGCCCCAAGGAAACTGCGCTTGAACAGTTCACTGTTTACGTTCACAGTCTTGACTTCGACGCGGATTAGGTCAAGTTCGTACAATGCGTAGAGTTCCATCCAAAACTCTTGACAAAACAAGCATGCGCCGATGCTTCTGTTATCGATGCCGGAAGCCTGAACACGATTATGACAAGCGACCGAACGGAAACATGGTGCAAAGGGCGTGCAAAATCGACAACAAACAAACGGCTAACTTACTTTGACGAATAGTTCCAAAAATGGTTTAGGAACGTACACTTCGTTGTTCTGCGCATCAGCTTCCCGCTCGCCATGAGTGAAATGATTCTCGGTAGAGTGTTCCATGACAATCGCCAACGAAAAACCCCAACTCCAAAACAAACAACGCGAACAACACCGCTCAACAGACAGTAACTCGACAATATTCGACCATACTAATCAATTCATACTGTACAGTTCGATACATACCTGAGTTCTGAATTGTCGGACGCTGATCATGCTACAGTAAAACAATGTTATATTACCTGAGAAAAATTAGATAGGACAAGGCCATGAGCACATAATTTTGTGAAAAATGCTTATTTGACTACGGAACATAAAATTTCAAGCTAATTAATATACTCAGAAAACCTATTAGCCTGTATCAAAAGACTTGTCAAACCGTAATTATGATTTAATTATTTCTTACTGTAAAGGATGAACTTTTGATCATGACAAAAATATTTTTAAAAGCGTTGGATATATCTTTCCAAGTTGTAAGTATTTTTAAACGACGTTTCACAAGGATCTAGGTACTGTCCTCTTTGAATCAACGTTTCCAAATTTTTATAATTTAAATACGTCTGTATTTTATTATTTAAATAGTTTAGTTCCAATTCTGGGAGTGCACAACCACTCTTATATCTGGAGCAAGAGATGCAATATCGTTGC